TTCAGAAGCATTGAAACATGAAGAAATTCATTTGGGTTTGTCTATTTTATTGGCTGATCGTATTCTCTATTATATTTCAGCACGGTTCTGTAATTTTTTTACTGGTCTATATAATATTAATTGTAGTGTGCTGCTCTGAGTTTACAATTTAATAAATAAGATTCTTTGTAGTAAAAATATTGAAAACAATTTTAGATACAGCACGAGACTTAAATAATAAAATAGAAGAGCAGAGAGCCCTTGCCACTATTGGAAGAATACATTTATTACATGGGCAGAGTGTAAATGATTCTAATTTAATGAAACAACAATTGAAATTGGCAGAGAAGTCGTTTATGAAAAGTTTGTTGCTGTGTGAGAGGTGTGTAGTGTACATAATTTTATATATATATATATATATATATATATAAATGATTGTGTGTGAAACACCTATGAATTGTATATATTTTCAGTGTATCTAATTGTCTAACATATTATTAGTTTAAAGGGAGAAATTTCTAATCATGAGCTTATGGATATGCGTGCACGGCTGTTGTTAAACCTTGGTGTTGTATTAGAACATTTACAAAACTATGAGCGATCAATAGACTTCATGGATCGAGCAATAACAATTTGCACAAAACAAGAGTTATTTGAACTGCTACATCAGTGCTATTTAACAAAAGGTTCATTATTGTACCATAGAAAGCAGGACTATTGTCAAGCACTGCAATTTTTCAATAAGTCATTAAATATTGCAGAAAGGTTTGAGTTGTGACAATAAATAAGCAATATAAAATATATATTAATAATAAAATTTCATTGAAAACTGGTATTACTGATTGGTGTTAATGTTCTACTATTTTATTTATATTTAACACTTGAATTAAACTTAGCCTCATAATTAAAGTATCGGCAAAGTCATAGATAGTACTATAAAATCTTTAAAAGATTGAAGTTATTTTGCTAGTAGTATAGTATAGTTACAGTAGATGTTATACCGTTTTTAGGTTGACAGACAAAGTGCTGAAAATGTGTGAATCTTTGTCAATGAAAGCAGAAGTATATATTTCGCAGTATGATCTACAAAGTGCAAAGCATATGTTCATAAAAGCATGGAAATTGAAATGCCCTGATGAAACTGAGAGAAAAACGATTGAAAAAAAGTTGAAAATAGGTATGGAGCTTGAAATAATATTTCTGATGCAGTTTGTTTATGGTTTACTTATAAATAAATAAATTTTATAGTCATGTCTGATATATTTAATGTAATTTTCAGTTGCCAGTATGTGCTACACTGATGATGCCTTAATATGCATTAAAGATACTAACTATGAAATGAGGAAAAGTCTGAATGAAAAAATGGCTGATGGTTATTGCTTTTTTAAAAAATACTCGAAAGCCATTACATATTATTTGAGTATGCTCGAATGTGCTGAATTGAATAATGAGAAAGGCAAAGATTTAATTCCTATATATGTGAGTCTATACCAAACCTATCGAGATAATAATCAGTATGATGAAGCATTAAAGTACTACTGGAAGGAATATGATTTATGCTCAGATATCCCTAGAGAAGCATTTAATACATTAATGAATATTTCAGAAGTATTAGAACTTTCGAACAAAGAATATGAAACCATTGAAGCAGTTTATAATAAAGCACGACAAGAGGTAGAATTATAAATAAAAGTATCCATATCATATTGTGGTCCTAGCATTGTGTTGAAGTTTGTTATTACATATTTAAACACATAGTCCTTTGTTTTATAGGCAAAGAAATTAAATCGAGATTCATTAGAAATGCTATGCATGAAAAAACTAATTAATTTGAGAAGACAATATAATAAAACTGCAGAAGCTGATAAACTTCAGAGAGAATTAGATGATTTAAGAAATCGTGTAGAATCTAGTGACAGTTCAGATTCTGAAAATACTTCACTATCAGAGAACACTCCAAACATAGGGGATGATATATGCATTGAAGATTTATCAGGTATATACACACACACACACATATATATATATATATATATATATATATATATATATATATATATATATATGTGTTGTGATTGTAGGTTTAATTTTGATGTTGAAATATATGAGTGAGTCTTTGAGGGCGATACATCAACAAAGAAAAGCAAAGATTATAAAATATCTTATTTCCAAACGTTTCGACATTCAATTAATGTCATCATCAGTGGATCAAAAAACAGTATGAAAATTAGCATATCTAGGTAATTATAATATATGTGGATTGGTAAAGTAACTATACAATAAGAGAAAAATTAACAAACAGCAACACTTAACAACAAACCAAATATAAAAGATATATATATATATATATATATATATATATATATATGTGTGTGTGTGTGTTTGTGTTGTTTTTTGTATAGCAAAGGAAATGCATTTATGCATCCCAGACTGGTCTTTTGTCTGGGTATGTTAGACTTAATACAGCCATGTGTGTGTAAAAAATAAATACAATCAAAACTACAAACATATTTTCATTAAGGTATTTTGATCCTGAAGAAATTAAATCACTAATCGAGCACACAGCACACGGAAAAAAAGGTAGGACATGGATTGTGAAAAAAATGACAAAGGAGAAACTCAGCTTCATACTGCTTGTATATCAGGAAATATCACTTTAGTCCAAAGATATCTTATCAGAAACATCCAGTAAATATTCGCGATAATGCCGGATGGCTACCATTACATGAGGTATGTTTGCTTGTTGTATTTTGTGAATTGTATATATATATATATATATATATATATATATATATATATATATATATATATACATACAGTTTGTATGAATATATTCTATAGGCTTGTTTATATGGCCATAAAGAAATAGTGCAGTTATTATTAGAGGCAGGAGCCCATATTAATGACAGAGGTGGCACTGCATGCGATGGTAAGACATTTGTTATTTTAGGAGATAATTTTAGGTTGATAACCATAAAGTTTTTTATTATCAGGAATTACACCACTCTATGATGCTGCTAGCAATGGTCATTTACAAGTTATTGAATTGTTGTTAAATCATGGAGCATCTGCTAAATTATTAACAGATGATGGGCAATCGGCTTTAGAAGTACTTATGAAATGGAAAGAAAGTGTTCATCTTGATCAAACTGAATCAGTTTATTATGAACTCATTTATAATAAATTAAGAGCAGCAACAGGAAAACAGTTAGATACTGCACAGAATGTACAAAGTCAAGTATTTAATACGAAGAACTCCAATATGAAATTGAATAATGAGAAATTCCCAGTGAATTTGAGATATGCAATTAATGATTTTAGTGATGAGGAAAATGAAAAGAAAAAGAGTTTAAGTCCAAAAGATCATAGTTTAAAAGCTGAGAATAGTGCTTGTTTGGAATATCAAAATATCATGAAAAATTTACGAAATCGTGCATCAGAATCTAAGTCACTTCCGAATAGTGACAATGAAAAAAAGAGATCAGCCCTGCTCGATGTGAATGATGTTGTAGATAATTGGCTGGAGGATGATTTACAACACAAACGGAAAAGACGGAAAGTTTCACTTAATAGAGGCAATTCAAGTACAAATTATTCAAGTGAAAGCTTATCCATTGAAGCCATAACTGAAAAACGCCTTGAAAACATTGATTCAGGTGGTGCAAAAAAAAACACTGCTGGCAAGAAACATCAAATTTCTTTACTGGATTCTGGTTTTACGAAAGAAAAAAGTGTATCACCTAATATTGATGAAATGATTAATAATTCAGATTTTGTGACCACTCCTATTATCAGACCACAATCACCTATGAAAACACAATTTCAAACTAAGCAATCTGTAAATTATTCCCTCCAAAGTGTAGTCCCTCCAATACCAGTAAAAGTTAGAGTTGAAGACAGGGTGTTGGTAGTTCCGGTTATGTCAAATTTGATACAATCATTGGATATTGCATGGCTTTCAAAAGAAACTTCCAAACGTTATTATAAGTATGTAACCCCATTTAATTTTTCAAGTTTCAAAAAATACATGCACGTTCAACACTAAACCATTTAATATTTAATTTTCTTAAATATAATTAAATACAATTAATAATTAAAAATAAAACAATTCACCGTACATAATTAATATTTCAGCTTGGTGGGATTAGAACCATGCTTAACTCTAATGACGCCAGATGGAGCTATACTAACGCAGGATGACCCTCTGAGTCTTGTTCTCGGTATACCTGAACTACAATCAAATATTTTGAAATGGAATTTGCCTCCTCTTCATGAAAGATATTTAGAAGCTTGTAGTCAGCTCAATACCAGTATGTGATATAATGAAAAATAATCCAATGATATATATTTAGATATTCACACAACTTTTTCTTTCAGTTGTGGACAACAATTTACAAAATTTACTAAATATATGTCAAGCCACACAAATATTAAACTTGTCCAATTTATGGCTATCAACTGCTCAGGTTCAACCAGTATTCAGAAGCTTGAATCACCAAGCAAGCTTAAGAGTGTTAAATTTAAAAGGCAATATGATAACTGATGCTGGAATCAAAATGCTGTGCACATCATTGCCAAGTATGCAGCAATTAAAAGAGCTGAATTTAAGTTTAAATAGTTTAACACATAAAAGTTTATATCATTTCGCTGAAATGTTATCAGAAAAGATATGTCTGCAGGAACTTGAGGAGCTAGATATTAGTTTTAACCCACTATATAATGAAAGCTTTAAACCTTTGGCCAACATTTTGGAAAAGTTAAAATTGAAAAAAATTGTGTTGTCATCATGTGATCTTGAAGGTTCTAACAAAAAGTTAGTTCTACCTTTAAATAATATAGTTTGGCTTGACATTAGCCATAACAGCTTTCAAGATAAATGTATTGAGGATATATTTTCTAACTTAGATGGTGAAACAATCGAGTATTTAAATTTAAGCAACACTTCATTGCCTGGCGACACATTAGTGGAAAACTGGTTGCTTTTTTAAATGCTAGCAGCTTAAAAAATTTGACTGCTTTAGATTTATCTGGCTGTGATATTTCCGACACATACTTAAATCAAATCCTTCATGCATTAATTAGAGCTAAAAAATTTCATACATTTACACTAGCAAATAATTTTCAATTATCTTCAATTTCATTGAGGAGATTATTACAACACAGACCCTGCATTAAGAACATCTTTTTAGAAGGCTGTACAGATATTCTCAAATATCTAGCCATTTCAAATGTTTATGAAGATATTGATAATTTGGCTCCTGAAGAAATTTCGATGAGCGTTAATAAAAATGCAATAGAGGAAGTTGCCAAAATGGATATCATAATAAATATGTGGATGAAATTATGGGGCGACCAAGCTGTGATTAAACATGGACCATTTGGTGAATTGCGTTTAAGCACTAGTAAACATTAAGGAACACGTTATTTATTGTGTATATAATATTTATATTTTTATTGTATTATTAAATTAAATATTTTATATTAATTATTTACAAGTTCTATGAACACAAATGTATTGTTAAATAATTATCGGAACATATCAGCAAAACTTTTATCAATAATCTTCATGTGTTGTTTTTAATGCAATATTATAAGATGGAATCTAATTTCTATTTTATTTGATGTTTCAAATTTTTAATCTTTTATATCTCTGATTTACCTTTAATAATTGTACATTAGAGATTTTCCTGCACATACCCCTTCATACATAATTCTTCTTGTGATTCAGAAATTTTGGCAATCAGGTTAAGACGAAAGTAAAGCAAGTAGATGATTCTCTATAACACTCTGGGCTGAAAATGAAGATTTAAGTAAACTGACAAACATTAAAAAGTTATATTAACATACAGTAGTACCCCGCCTTACAAGCCTTCACAATTTCGAGATATTTATAAGAATTATATAAACTGAATTACTAAAGTAGTTGAGTTAAAATTATTCACTTAAAATATATAAGTGAGCTTTAGAACTTTAACCAGAATTAAAATTAAAATCTGAATTATTTTCAATAAACAAAAAAAAATTTTTTTTGAAAAGAAAATTTTTTTTTCCAAAAGCAATTGTTCCGTCAACACAAGCAGAAAGTTTTTTGAATTATTCAAATCGGAGCTTATTTCTCTCAAAAACTGCCATTTTTTGTACATTTAGCTTGGTATCTTCAAAATGGCTGGACCTACCTTTGCCAAAAACTAATCACCACTTCTCCCAATCATTACAAATTAAATGCTTTTAGATCATTTAAATCGGATGCACCGTTCTCTTAGTTTATATCATTTCGCTCGCTATCTATTTTCTGCACTCTTTGCTCCTTATCTCCGTAACGGTTGGACCTGTCTTTGCCAAAAACTAATCAACACATCTCCCTATCAATAGGAATCGAATGTTTTTTTAAACCACTCAAATTGGTTGATCCGTGCGCCCGAAAAAATGCGGAGACAAAAAATGTTCAGGAATCTTCAAAACGTGGAGAAATGCAAAAATTTTCATTTTCGATTTTCTGGCCATTACTATAACTACCCTACGGGAAGTTAACAAGAATTTTCATATGTAAAGTAGCAATTAACTATCATAAAAAATATTTTGAAGTTAAAATTTTTAATTCAATTTATATTAGTGTTGTGAATTTGTTTGTGCAAAGTGGGAAAAAGTTGAAAAGTTTGTGGATAAAAATGGGTGCATTTTCACCCTGAAAATGATACAACCAGTCGAGCATCAGAACTGTTTGACGAAACATGTCTTTTCGTCACTTATTTTTGCAATACTATAATAGGTTGAAGAAAAAAATAATGCTAATTGAATAATTTTTTCAATGCAATAATTTGTATAACGATTATTTAGTCATTTTATATTCAGTAATTTGCTATGTTTTTACAGAATATGTATTTGACCTAAAGTTTTAATTACTTTTATTGTCAAAAAAAAACATTGTGCTTAAGCAAATTAATGACATTTCAATATATTTATATGGAAAAAATTGAGACGAGCAATTCGACATGCGAGCATGGTTACTGAACAAATTATGCGTGTGAGGCAGGGTACCCCTGTATTTTGTTTTAAAATAAAAATGCAGCTTTTTTGCAAACATATTGACTATCAAAGTAAATTTAATAAGAATTTGAACCGATTATCAATTATGGTAATGCATAAATGTTTTTGTAACCTGCATAAGATTTCTTCCTTATTGCCAAACTGTATGGGGTATCATCATTTTCATTATTTAAAGTTAAATCAGCACCTTTTATAAGAAGATTATGGCAAGAATGTGGGTGATTACCAGCTGCAGCATATGCCAATGCAGTATTTCCAAGCTAAATATATAAAATAATTCAATTACCTATTTATAAACAATGACCTTGTGTCAATGTTACAATATTGGAGAAGATGCAAAATATGATTTCAGAAATACTCATGCTAACTTGCACTTAATTGTGCATTTTACACCAAACAAGTATTAAAAAAATACCATTATAAAAATGTAAGAAAAATATTTCCTGCATTATAATTCTTTAATAATTAACTTGATATATTATAATTATAATAGACCATGTTTCTCTACTTACAATATCACAATGATTTACATCTGCCCCATGTTCTAATAGTAATTTAATTGTATCATAGTGTCCACCAGCAGCTGCAAGAAGTAGCGCTGTTTCACCTTCGGGCCCTAGTTTATCTACAGAAGCTCCATACTGAAGGAGCATATTTACAGTACATGTTTGGCCATAATATGATGCCCAATGCAAACTAGTATAACCATTGATATCGACAGTATCGCATCCCTCAGAGCAAATCTGTTTGATTGTTATCTCACCTTGAGCAGCCCGAGCATGGAAATTGAATTTTATTTCTTCTCCGCTCTTTGCTTCAGTATTACCCCTTTGCAAATTTGTTAATACAGTACTGACTGGCCTATAAGGCAGAAAGGCACTTTTTCTAGAGCCCCACTTCCATTTCAAAACACTTTTGATGCTATTATTTTCAGAATCTGTGTCACAATCGCCATCAATATTTTCTGATTTAATAGCTGGAATCATGTTATTGGGAATTCAACCCATTAATTTGTTTGCTCGTACAAATATGCGTTATTCCTATACATTAATCATGCATTTCAAATACTGCTTTGCAATAATAAACATTCTTCACAATTTGACAGTTCGATCGTTTGATTTTGTTGGGACAGTTCGTAACTCTCTTAACTGTGGTTCGTTTTCTTTATGGTACCCATCCACTAGGCAACCAGGCAACCGAGCAATTTATGACAAAATGACCAATAAATGTCGACTTGTAAATTTTTTTGGTGTCCCAGAAAATCGAATAAAATTTCATTCATTTTTCTTGAACATTAGAGAAAAAAGTTGGTATATTTCGAACGTGTAATGAGATAAAATCGACTTTTGTTGCAAATTTTGGTTCACTTTTCATTTTATTAAACATTGATTTTTATATAAAAATTATATTAAAGTTTTTTATTTAACATTAATGTTGTACATTTGCAACAGATGAATTCGGAATGAATTTTGTCACGAATAAATAGCACGAATTATTGTTCAAACGTAGTCCGATAGCTGTTATAACAAAATATTCACGTTTTACATTATATTAGCATCTAATTTTAATCTAAACAATGGCCTTAATCTTGGAATATACGTCTACATTTACCCAAGAATGCCCATAACAAAAAAGTTTTTGAGCATTAACTTCCCGTAGGGTGGTTATAGTAATGGGCCGAAAATCGAAAATGAAATTTTTTACATATCTTCACGTTTTGAAGGTTTCTTAACATTTTGGCATACCCAAGAAATAATGAATGTGTGTGTACGTATGTATGAATACAATTTTTCTTCCACGTTTTCGGGCGCACGGATTGACTGATTTGAATGGTTCAAAAAATATTCGTTTCCTAATATTGATAGGGAGATGTGCTGACTAGTTTGTGGGAAAGGCAGGTACAGCCGTTATGGAGATACGGAGCAAAGAGTGCAGAAAACAGAAATCGATCGATTTTTTGAGAGAACGGAGGATCCGTTTTGAATGATTCTGCTTGTGTTGACGAATGCTTTTGAGAAAATAATTTAAAAAAAAATATTCATTTTTTTACGAATTACTTAAGTAATCTCAAATACTCAATAATATTTCATTATGGTACGGAAAATTCCAGCAATTTGCCTTAAGGCACTATCCCATACACCACTAGTTTTATATTAATTCATCATAATACGGATATCATTTTAATTAAAATACCCGGGAGATAGGCCTTTATTTTGTACTCTATTTTAATTATATTTATGTTACTATTCACTCATGTTACTAGATGCTATATTATTTAGGAGTTGTAACGGATGTTGAAATTAAAAAAAATATATATAAAAAATTTAGATATGAAGGAAAGGGTATGGTCAATGGTCGTGTTTCCATACAGAATTGGCCCCTCCCTGATATTTAAATTATTTCGATGCCGTTTTATAAGTCTTTTTAGAAAATCCCCGTATACCACATTTCAATTCCCTATAGCTCATCATGTTTATTTATCTATGTTTTGGCTGAGCCGACATATCATTGAAATTATGCGAAAGTGGGCCCTTACTTTTTCGAATAAAAATTTAGTATATAGGTTTATTTCATAAAAACCTATAAAATGGCCATTTTATACTTGTTTATCTTTGAAAATGACATCAAAATAATTGAAATACCAAGTTGGGGCCAATTCTATATGGAAACACGACCATACCCTTTAATTAATTAATTAAAGGGTATGGTCGTGTTTCCATATTTACTTTAAAGTAATAAATTATTACCGATAATAAATTGTTAATATATCAATAAAATTGATTTTTTACAAGTCAAAACGTTCAGAAAACTTTCAAACGTAAAAATATGTAAAATTTTTGATTTTTGCGATTACTGTATTAGTTAAAATGTTTAACCACTTTCAAAAAAAAAATCCTAATACTTTATACGTATTCTCTGGTACAGTATGAATCAAATCAAGATGTAGTTTGGCATGACGTATTTGCCATACCAACCGATATCCGGCCCTAATCAAAAGTCCTGATATTGTCATTGTTATAATCCTCGCATGTGAGAAAAAAATCTCAATGAACCTTTAATGTATTTGTCAACTGTCGGTACGTCGGCTGTTTCGTGCATGTGTTTTGTCGAGTAATACCAGTCGTAGAGCTTTGTTTTCTGTAGTCTGTAGTTCCAGCAAGTTTGCCTTGGATGTCGAGTTCCATACTAGAACGTATCGTGTCGGTCCAGTGTGGAACGCGAACGTATCTTAGGTTAGATGGCCGAGAACGTATCGTTATGATTAGAGTCAGGTATAGTGTCCATTTGTTCGTAACCCTCAACTAGTCTTTTGTGGCTCAAGAGAGGCCTCAATAGATTTAACATCCCAAATGCTTGTTCTCGTGTTCGAGGTTGAGTCTTCGGCACAGGTTCAGGTTGGTCAAGGTATTTGACTTTTGTTGGACCATATTTTTACTGGGAAGCATATAGCCTATACCTGAACCTATACTTTCAGGTAAAAGCAATGTCTGTCCGACGCGAGTGTCGTCGAAGGAATCTCCGATTCGAGGTTCATAGCTGTAATCACTGTCTAGAATTACTAGGAACTTAATATTAAAGTGTTACAAAGTTTGTTACAAAAACTTAATTTTACTACAAATAATTCTTTATTATTTGTTTGAATAATATTTTTTATTATTTGTATTATAAATAACTCAATTTAAGTTGAGGGATGGATTGTTATGGTTTTAGGTGATTCATTTTGTCAACATTAACTATAACATTCCTTTTTGAAAACTATATATCGAGTGTACACAGATATCTACAATTACAAGACCTACACTATTTGTACAAAAATCAAATTATTTATTGTAATTAAATTATAATTGCAACTACCTCTTTAGTGTAAGATCAAATAACAGTTCATCTGTAAATTTAACATCACACTCTTCCCTGCGGTATTCCAAATTCAGTAACTCATATTCGATTTTCATTCAAAATTTTCTATTATACAAAAATGAGTATATATAATTAATAATATACACAATCTTTATGTTAAAATATTAAGACTTATGATACACATCCAGTTTATCTGCTTATATATTTACAAGTGTTGAAAATTTCCTAAAATTAAAATTACACTAAAGGTAAAGTTAATGAATATTGTCAAAAATGATAAGAATCATTGCAGTCAGTAAATTTTATCTCAATACTATTATCGAAAAAAAAAAAAAAAAATCAGAAACCATTAATGAAAAATGAAGCTTTGTGCAGATCCATTCGCAACACTAAAATTTACTGGTAACACAGAACATATTTATAATAAATACTATAATAATGATAATACAACACATATTTTGTATCTTTCAATATATTAAATATTTTGAATTATTTGAATCTTTATGTAAAAATCAATGTATATATAAGTCAAATAAAACAAATTTTCAAATTAAAAAAAAAAAATTAATACAACACATATATCTTTATACTCTTCTGTTGATGTATTTTATAAAAATTCACGGGCATTTCATTATTTAGCAGATCTCCCATAATGAAAATCTCCATTTATAATTTGTGGCACTGAACAAATATTATATAAATGTTATTAAATCAATTGTAAGAACTTCTTTAAACAATTTTCATTTGAGAAATTATCAAGAAAAAAAATGGTTTACCTATTAAAAAAGTTTAAAAAAATTGCTGACTGTTAGAGGAATCATTATGGTTCCAACAACAGTAATAACGGATATTAAGTAATTAAGGCTTATGTGACCACATTGTTTGTGCGTCACCAATTCAGAAAACATTAGTTAAAAAATATTAACAAACACTTTTGGTAAATTGCTTTTTAAAACATTACACATAAAAATGTCACTAAACTAACATCAAATATAATATGTGCCAATAATTATATGAGTTTCACAATATAACTACATGAATCTGACACAATCCAATAGCAAATGAATGACACAATCGAATAGCACTGTAATTGTATATACTTAAATCTGTGCCAGCTCGTTCATATTTACTAATATCTGTTTTACTTATATAGAACTCATCTCCGTTGGTTCTGGTTATCCTCAGTATTTACTTGGGGTTGCATCATATACATTTTAACAATTAAATGTACATAGAAAGATTATGCTTTTTGTTTGCTATTCGTTATTCTAGTATGAAATCTTCCATTCACATTTTTCCATACTCATTTGATCAGAGGAATAAAACTGTGACATTCTTTTTTTTTTCAATGTTTTTATTTAGGATCTCTCTGCTCGAATTTTATACCTCATTTATACAAGTCCAATGGCCTCATATTTGAAGTCAGTATGAACACTTCCATTATAAAATAATTCTGTAATTGTAAAAATTATAATGAAAGAAGAGGCAAACAAACAATACAAGAAAAAAATATTCCATATTTAAAGTTATATATATATATATATATATATATATATATAAATATATTATAAATATATATATATATAAATATATTATAAATATATATATATATATATATATATATAAATATATTATAAATATTTATATATATATATATATATATATATATATATCGAGAATTTTTTGTTCGACGTTAAAACATATTGAATCGCATAAAAACAGCCAATGCGTAGAAGATGATTTGAATGAAATGTATGAATTGCTAAAAAAAAGCAAGAGAATAAATCAGCATATTTATAACTCAAAGAATCTAAAACAATTTAAAACAATGCTTTACAAACAATGGACCTTAGAAGATTTTCCGAATTTTGTTTTATCTTTTTAAATTCAAATTGTGTAATTGAACGTAGTTTTTCTTGCCTACTTTCAGAAAGCTATCAAAATGTAATCTATTTCTGTAAATCTGATTTCCTATTATGCCCCCGATTTATTACCCTTCCTCTAAAACATACAATTAGTTACTTAGGTTAGTCATACAATACCACTTGTCGCGCTTACGTATGCTTTGCTTCGTGTATATTGTGCGTCATAGAAACTTGTTTATTACGTTTACCTTATTCAGTTTTATTTCAAATTGTTTTTGTTTTCCTGCAGTAGTATAATGTGACTGTTGTCTTAGTTGTAATTGTTAGCATGTGTGTTTTCCGCAACCCACAATTCTTTTCCCACACGGAAAAGCGTGCCGTTGAAGAATGTTGTGGTAGACTTTTTTGTCCATTATACCCTCAATTTTCACAATGTCCTCAGCAAATCATCACCAGACTAACACTAATCCTCGACGTTCAAAAATCGTTCTCTCACAGCCCCCGAAATTCGCGAAAAACTCAACTCCGCGCGCAAAGCACAAGTATGGGTTTCAAATGTACAGCGTCTACAAAATTACGGCTTCAAAGGATGCGTCGCCTCTAAAAAAAACATTACTATGCAAGCAAAAAAAAGTGAAAAGATTGAATTGGGCTAATAAACATAAAAATTGTACAATTGAACGATAATCTAAAGTCTTGTTCACAAACGAATCAAAATTTCAAATTTTCAACAAACGACACCGAAACGACGTCGTCGTTTTGGTTGACGAATGCATGATAAAACAATGTGTGATCCCCCATAGTCAAGCATGGTGGTGGTTCAGTGTTAGTCTGGGGATGATTTGCTGGGAACATTGTTGGTGACATTGTTAAAATTGAGGGTATAATGGACAAAAAAGTCTACCACAACATTCTTCAACGGCACGCTTTTCCGCATAGGAAAAGAATTGTGGGTCGCGGATTCGTTTTCCCGCAAGATAATGATCCTAAGCACACTCCTAAATTCCTTCTCAGTCAAAGAAAAGTAGAAAGAACTCAAATATATGGAATGGCCGGAGTCGCCGGATGAGTTGCTGTGGGACGTGTTGGACAGACAAGAGAGAAAATTGCAACCAACTAATACGAAACAGCTTTGGACGTTCCTACTGAATCGCTGGAATGAAATAACGACGGAACCATTGCATAAATAAGAACAGAATAAATTGAACAGAGCATAGCAAAATATTTGTGAAATATAATATGTTTTGCACGTTTCCGAGGCAATAATCATTATTGCTCGGATTATTGCCTCGGAAACGTACGCATAAACTACTTTTTCCGTGCAAAATATATTATATTTCACAAATATTTTGCTATACTCTGTTCAACTTAGTGTATATATGATAGTGCAAAATTATGTGCCATGCTCTAGTTACTGATGTAAGACCATATTAATATCCACTGATGATGACATAAAATCCTATGTCGAAAAGTTTGGAAAAAAATTAAAGATTAACTTCTAAATCTTTGCCTTTTATTTGATGTATTGCCCTTGAAGAACTTACTCATATTTTTCAACATCAAAACTAACTTCTTTAACATATATATATATATATATATATATATATATATATATATATATAAATATTGAGAACTCACCAATTGTTGCATGCAAATGCAATAAAAACTATTTCAGTTGAAACATATTGAACTATCCAAGATTGGTTGCATCGTAAAGCAAACTTCGAGAGCTGGAAAAGAATGGCCTGAGAGAAGGTTTTGGTGTTGAACCAATTGACATTGTATCCAATTCAGGAGCAGAGTCATCGGCTTCTCCGCAAGACAAGGATTCTAACTCTTGAAATAATGCATCAATTTCATGTGCACCCTCTAGAGCTCCCTCTTCTCTCCCTGCTACACCAGCCTCTAGTTCCTCTGGTACACGAAAACGTCGTAACAGTGCCACAAATTTTTGTTTGAGGTTACGTTGCTATTAAGATGAATTTATAAATAAATTCTTGCGCGCATATAGATGTATACATGAAAATAATCTTTGATCTTTACCCGGCTACTTGGCAACTTTGCACCCTTTCTTGAGTGCTCAAACTCGCTATCACTATCAACAGCATGCGCTCCCATAGCTGCATCATCACCAGTGTGCGCACCATGTTGTAATTTTCTGTAAGCCAAACCTTTACGAGTTTGGCTAACACTAGTACGACTGACATTAGCATCATATAGCTGCTCATCATTATCTTCTGCCGAACTGAATTCAGCTTCCTCATCATCATCTGAGTATTCAGCCACTCCTCGATCAGCTGACATAGCACAACTGTTTTGTTTGTCGTGATCCACTGGTATTGATGATACCTATAAATCAATAATCTACATGTTCACTGTAAAACATTTTAATACACTTACTTAATAAAATAACTTCTAGCCAAATATTCATAGAAATTAAATAGTAAATGCATTGTAGAATCAGTCAAATGTTTTACACAAAAAATTGTATTCTTTTGAAACATTCTATTAAAAAGTGGATATGAAAACCAAAACTAAATATATTGCTATTCCAATAATATATTTTTAAAAATAACAACCTGGTATGCAGTAAGCCGTGCGAGTGGTCCACATTTTCGGGCACTTTTTCCATCACCTCCTAAATCAATCTGCATATCGCGAGATCGTTGTAAAACCTGATCCATACGTACTGAGCCTTCACACAATGTTTTGTACCCCAGAATAGTACGTGACTTGTATTTTTTACGCCGTTGAAGAAGAATCTGTAATCTTAAAGTAAAGGATAATATGCACATTAAAAATTCATAATTATATTTATATGGTAGATTACAAGATTTTGATCAATAAACTTTTAGAACTAGGAGTGGAAAGCATTCTTTTCAGCATTCTAAAGGATTTTCTGAACAGAAAGAATAACCAGGACAAAGATTGGAAATTCCACAAGTGAAATATGCAAATTAACATCAGTCCTGGGGCCATACTCTTCTTTATCTATGCCTGAGGCCCTTGTTATACCTTGTATATACAACCAACTTGAAAAAGGAAACTTAAATATACTATACGCAGACGATACGGCGATAGTATATGCAGACAAAGACCAATATAAGCTAGAGCAATATATAAAAAAAAGGCATGGAGACATACTCAAATTGGCTATTTAAGAACAAATTACCATTAATACTAAAAAAACAAAATACATATACAAATAGAAGTAAAGAAAAAAATAAATTGAAGCTTAAAGTTAACAAAACTGAAATTGAAGAGGTAGACAATATAAAATATCTAGGACTCATAATCAATCAATAATTAACTTGGACAGACCACATAAAGAGAATGAAAAAAAAAAGATAGTTTCACTAACAGGAGCACTAAAGAGATATACACTACTTTGGAACTAAATGCAAAATTTTAGTACTGAAAGCGTACATAATGCTTATAATTATGTACGGAATTGCAACATGGAGTCAAACCACAAAAAAATATAGAAAGCATTCAGAGAATAATAAATAATAATAAATAAAGTATTAAAAACAACTTATAATCTCCCCTATTTCACCCTAGTTCGATATGTAACAGATAACCTACCATTAAATAAAATTTTAAAAATAGAAAAGTGCAAATTAATACATAAGATAATAATAAATAAAGTATTAAAAACAACTTATAATCTCCCCTATCTCACCCTAGTTCGATATGTAACAGATAACCTACCATTAAATAAAATTTTAAAAATAGAAAAGTGCAAATTAATACATAAGATTAAACATAACAAAATCAAAACATGCACATCAATAACTATAAATAAGGAAATACACAAGTACAATACTAGACAACAGGAAAATTATCATCTAAAGCAAACAAAAACAAATAAAACACTATATGAAGTGCTATAAAATTATTCAATGGGCTTTGAAAAAAATAAAGATGACTAAAGAAGAGAAACAATTTAAAACTATGTTAAAAGAATATTATAAAAAAATTAGATAAATAAATTAGACCAGAACATGAATGTAAAAATGAATATATGTAGTATTGTATGATTGAATTATAAAATAAATGATATAAAATGTTGTAATGACCATATCATATGTATATATATATATATATATATATATATATATATATATACACCTAAGTCTGTTTTTACACGGTAGATTGGTTCCAGAAGAAGCCGTGTAAAAAAAAAAACGTGTAAAAAAAGACATTGATCTTATACAAAAATGGGTGATTTGTTCCTAATCTCTAAAACCTATTAAAATTAGTCAAAAACAAGAATTTTTAAGAACAAGAATTCATGTTTATTTTATTAAATCAAATATATAATGCTTATTTTCACAAGCATAGTAATTAATGATAGAAAAGATATGCACTCTAATCTTAAAAGTAATATAAATTAAATGTATGGCAAGTTCAGGAACTAAAAAACGTTGTAAACGAAAAGAATAGGTTGTTCAATTTTTAAGGTTTCCCTAAATTAGTGCTATTTACATTTGCTTTGAGCAGTAAAAATTGTTTGTACGCGCTAAAGGGGAATTCACGTAAATCTTTAAGCTAGTGTTCGCAAACTATCGATACTATCGATGGTTTCAGACTTTTTTCTTTCATAAATACTTTTTTGTGATATGAACATACTTCGCAAAAATTAAATTTGACAAAAAAATTTAAGTACATAAAATTTCAAATCGTGCTAAATGGAATAAAATCGTGTAAAAAAATTAAAATTATTCAATTTTCAAACAGTGTTATATCAAAACCGTGCACAAAAAGATCGTGTAAAAACAGACTTAGGTGTATATATACACTTTGTATAGACCAGTGTTTCTCAAAGTGGGCCCTCCGGTGGGCGATTGTAATATCCTGGGGGGCGATAAGAGGCTCCTAACTAATTTTTTTTTATGTATACATTGTTTTAAGTAGCGTTTTATTTGTTCTCACTAGTAAAATTTTCTAATTTAGAATGTAAGGTTACATGAACTAATATATCACACTATAACTATATTTTTAAAATTTAAAAAAAATGTTTTTTAGAGATTTTATAGGTATAAAAAATTTGGTAGGAGAGCGCTACAAAAATTTTGATCTTCAAAGGGGGCATTGGAAGAAATAAGTTTGAGAAACGCTAGTATAGACATTTTGTACGATCTTTCATACCAAGCACTTCTGCCTGTCTGATATGTATAAAATTTATATTAAAATTCAAATAAAAAAAATAAAAAATTATATTGTTAGAAATATATGTATCAAAAATAATGTTTCAATGGTACTCACTAGTACTAGTACTAGTACAGTAATTTTGTAAAACTGTATATCTGCAACAATTTACAAAACAATTATTACAATGTACATACCTGTTTCCATCTCGTTTTATGAAATGAGGATACTGCAAACTAAAATGTAAATCAAGTTCTGCTTCTAATAAAGTAGATTGTCCAGCTAAATTTGAAGATTGCAAAGAAGGTTGAAGTGTTGACAACAATTGTTGCTGGTAATTTTGATTACCTCCAGTTGCATTTACACTACATTGTTGATTTGCCATTATTGAATTTTGAACATTGATTGAAACACCTAGAATGATTATCAATTATTACTACACTATATACATTACAAGAAAATTCTGTAATATTTTAAATCTATATCAAGTGTCTATTACTTGCCAGAGCTTTGTTGTGATGGATTGTACGATTGTGCTGGCTGTAAAGCTACAGCACCTAAGGATATCTCATGTGATCGCAAAATGCGTTTTGAACTTTGCATTTTTACAGCCAAAGACACGCTTGTTACATCAGCGGGAAGTGGAGTTAGAAGTGTGAGTCTTGTAACAGTCAAAGAGCACAACCTTAAATTACAAAAGAGCAGTTTCTAAAGCATTTCAAACATAATCTATAAGTTTCAGAATGATTCCGTCACAATAATAATATATGAAAACTTCTAAACTTCTTCCAAGTAAGTGTTTTCTTTCAAATTTTGTACAAATTTTATAATAAATATTCGCACAATATATACATATACAATGTTGTTTTTGGAAGAATAAAATATAATCGAATTTCATTGAATTCAATACAATAAAAGCCCTATATTAAATATGGAACAGTAACAACAATATAACATAAAAATCATTAAAGTTGTAATACAAATAACATTGCTAAATTATTATTGTGTGTATACATTATATGAAGTGTGTATGTGTGACTATATTTATCTGTCGTGCATTTGGAGATTGATTGATGATTTTTAACCTGGGAATACAATTAGAAGGGGTCCTATCCACTTCCCAGGCTGCAAAAAGTTTCATAGGAACAGGTTTCATTGCGGTGTTTGACATTTTATATTCAATAAATGAACACTTCATTCGATCAATCTACATCGTTTTTACAACTTTTATTGAGATCAGCACTTTGATCCATACTGCGCTTTGAAATTTCAATGAAACTTTCAATTCAAACTTTAAACTGCACTACAAAAATAATGATTGTGATTGCACTGTACTGTTATATCTGATAGCTGTCAAAGGGCTGTCAAAAGCGATGCTACGCTAATCCATAGAGAGAGAAACACGTTCATGTAGCTAACAAAGCACAGCCCTTAGCAGAGCATTATCCAGCCGATAATTTTGCTGGTTATTTAAAAAGCTAATATCTTTTTGGTTCATACTTACTGTTAAAATACTAAAAAATATATGCAATTAAGGGGTTAGGAGTACTTAAAGTTTTTGAAAAAACAATTTTTGTCGCAGTCGCAATCGCAAAAAAATCGAAAATGAAAATTTGTATATATTTTTACGTTTGAGAGGATTCTGAACATTTTGGCATACCTTAGAAAAAATTGATGTATGTGTATGTGCATAGATAAACATGCATAAGTATAAGTGTGTATGTATGTGTGTGTGTGTGTGTGCAGATACAAATTTTTATCGACGATTTCGGGAACACGGTTCAACAGATTTCAATTATTCAACTAGCTGTAAGTGGAATTCTGTCTTAAGGCAATTAGAGCATCGTGCCTTAAGGCAAATTGCTGGAACTTCCCGTACCAAAAATTATTATTTTTTTTAAAAACGATTAACATTTTTGAAAAAAATTTACTTCGAAAAAATAATATTTTTGAGAAACTATAAATTGGACAAAAAATTACTTTTTTTTTTTTGAAAAAAAAAATGTTTTCTTTATTTTGACATATTTTGGAAGATCTGAACTTTTTTTCAAAGCAATCGTACTGCTTTAACTGCATAGGGACAAAATATAAAGCGCGTAAGCGCCGCGTCGCTGTCTAACGCATAAGCATTGGTACGGAACCCATAGGAATGTTAACAAAATGTATACTTATTGTTAAAATCTCTATAAAATATCTGATAATTTGATGTGCATATGTCTAATGATCATTTTTGACCGCCAAATGGCTCATTTTTTTACTTTTTCCTCCACATTTCCGAAACCGCTAGACCTGCCTTCATGAAAATTTTATCGATTCTTCATCTTGTCAATACAAGTTTTTGAATTATTCAAATCGGACGCTCCGTTCTCTTAAAACTGAGTTACCGTTTTCGGCACTTCTTGCCCCGTATCTTGGAACGGCTTAAACCTGCCTTCGCCAAAAAACTAATCAGCACGTCTCCTTATCAATACGAATCGA